ATATGGAGGTAGTGACAGATTTTATTTTCCTGGGCTCCATGATCACTGCAGATGGAGACAGCAGCCACGAAATTAAAAGACGCCTGCTTCTTGGGAGGAAATCGATGACAAATTTTTGACAGCATCGTAAAAAGCAGAGACATCACCTTGCCAACAAAAGTCTGAAAAGTCAAAGCTATGGTTTTTCCTGTCGTGATGTATGGATGTGAGAGCTGGACCATAAAGAAAGCAGACTGCCGAAGAATTGATGCCTTTGAATTGTGGTGCTGGAGGAGGCTCTTGAGAATCCCCTGGACTGCAAGGAGAACAAACCTATCAGTTCTAAAGGAAATCAACCCTGAATGCTCACTTGAAGGACAGATCCTGAAGCTGAGGCTCCAGTACTTTGGCCATCTCATGAGAAGAAAAGAGTCCTTGGAAAAAACCTTGATGTTAGGAAGGTGGGATGGCAAGAGGAGAAGGGGACGACCAAGGATGAGATGGCTGGACAGTGTCTGCGAAGCAACAAACATGAACCTGACACAACTCCGGGAGGCAGTAGAAGACAGAAGGGCCTGGCGTGCTCTGGTCCATGGGGTCACGAAGAGGCGGACACGACTAAACGACTAAACACACGAATGGAGCTCCTAATGGCAAGGAGAGGGGAAAGTGAAAGTGGTTTGAACAGGGTTTTTCTAAAAGAAAAAAAACGAAGATCTGAAGAGGTTTGAAGGAGGAGCATTTGATGATCAAAAGGGAAAATTTGATGATTGTAGAGAATGGGATGACAGAAGACAAAGAGATGACAGTAGGGGGATGCTGGAAAATAGATAAAGGGGTGCTTCAGGAGAAGGGAGCACAGCTCAGTAGTGGGGTGACATCTGGGCTAGACTGAAGAAAGGTGTAAGTTATCTTGCTCTGTTCCTATGCTAAAGCGTATTTAAGGGGAGATGAAGGAGAGGAGGGGAGTGCTTTAGTAATGAGGATTAGACCAGTGAAGTATGTGTGACATATCATAGGGATGGCTGCACAAGAGAGGCTTAAGTCCAGGAGGAAATTAACAGCGTGAGAATTTGCCTTACACTGAGTGAAACCATGGGTCCATCAGCTCAATATTGTCCAGTCTGGTTGGTAGCAGCTCTCCAGGGCTTTTAAGGAAGGATTTCTTCCTAGCCTTCCTGGGAGATCCCCAGTACAGTCGTGCCCCACTTAACGATTACCCTGTATAATGATGATTCCGCTTCACAATGTTTTAAATGGTTTTTTTTTTTCGCTTTGCGAAGATCGGTTCCCTGCTTCAGGAACCGATTCTTCACATTATGATGATAAGAACAGCTGATCGTCAGGGTTTCAAAATGGCCACCAACTGCTCAAAATGGCTCCCTGCTGTGTTTTTGGATGGATTCCTCACTCTACAGGCACAAAAAATGGCCACCCCATGGAGGATCTTCACTGGACGGTGAGTTTTTCAGCCCATTGGAACGCACTGAACGGTTTTCAATGCACTTCAATAGGCTTTTTAATTTCGCTTTACGACGTTTTCACTCCAGTGATTTTGCTGGAATGAATTAACGTCGTTAAGCGAGGCACCACTGTATTCTCTGGTGCTGTACTAAAAAGCCCATCCCCACCTAAGCTTCTCAATGTGTTCCGAGTGAAAGAGTAGTTGCATTACACAAAGTCTAATGGAAGCAAAAGGTCCTGGTGCTCCACAACCTTCTAAAGGAGCTTGTCTTTGAAAATTCATCCCTCTCTTTCCTTTGCTGAGCCCCTTTCTTTTTGTTCCTGTTGCAGAGTTTTGGATTTCTGTTCAAATTCTCTTTTTTGCTATGCAGCAGAAGTACAGAATTCAACAGTGGAAAACACTTTCCAGTTTCTCAGAGTCCACCCCTTAAAGTCTCAATAACTCACTCAGACTTCTGTAGAAGAAAGAATATAATAAATTTATTTACAATTGCTTGAAATTACAGACTTGCATATGCTGCTTTATTTACTGCACACTTACTGGCAACCAACCAAACAGATGAGCAGCAAACAAACAACTGCTACCAATGGACTAAAAAGAGGGGAGAAAACACTCAACAGAGAGGCATAATTCAAAGGCTAGAATTTAAAGACTGGAAGGGGAAAAAAAGAACAGTTCCTTTGGGACCATAGGAGGAATCTATTCTGAAACTATTTGTTTCAGAATCTATTTTTTGAAACCTAATTATTATTTTTTTAAGTCCTGTATCTTTGTCTTCTGAGTTTTCTAAGATTTTTGACTGCTTGAAGCTTAAACACGGGAGCATGTATTTCCTATGTTTCACCCATTTTAGCTCCCACAATAGGATTTTCTCAAACATACGTGCCACAACAAGTCAGATGTGTAAATTAAGTATGTGTTTACATTCAAACAACCAATCTCAAAACAAAGCGCAAGGAACATGTGATATGTGAGAGGACCATCATAAACTGTGACAAACAGCTTTGTTTGTTCTGGACATGGCACTTTATGAAGGATGGCTGCAGCAAGTTCAGAGGAGGGCAACAAGGATGATCAAGGGATTGGAAACTGAGTCCAGTGAGGAAAGACTGAAAGAACTGGACATGTTGAACTTTGAGAAAAGAAGACTGAAGGGAACTATGAGAGCTCAACAGCAAGATTTGAAATGCTTGAAAGCTAGTCATACAGAGGAGGAGTAGGATCTGCTCTTGATTATCCCAGAGTGAAGGACATATAATAATGGCTGAAGTTATAAGAAGTCAGCTTTAGGTTAAGTATTAGGAAAAATCTGTTAACTATTAGAGCAGTATGACAATGGAGGATATTAGACAACCATCTGTCAGATCTACTTTGATTTAGATTCCTGCATTGAGAAAGGGGTTGGAGGCCTTATGGGCCCCTTCCAGCTCCATTCTTCTATGACTCTATGAAACAGAGATCTTTCACAACAGGGGAGCACTCATGTAAATAAAAAAATATGATAAATTCATCATCTTGTTTGACCTTTATATGCTCAAGCTATCTTTTTTCCCTACACCACCTCTTCTTACAGCATCAGAGCTGTGGCTCTCTTCGGGACTTTAAAATTACATATGCAAATGCTGCATTCATTTGCTGTTTTCTTCCTTGTTTGCTTCCTTATAGGGAGGCTATGAGGGCGCTGAACCAGAGGTGTCATTAACAGCTTTTGTCCTGGTTGCTCTGCTGGAGTCCAAAGAGATGTGCAGCAACCGCATCAACGTAAGTACAGTGGTGCCTCGCGAGACGAGCACCCCATTTAACGACAAAACCGCATTACGACAAACTTTTTGCAATCGCTTTTGTGATTGCTTTACAATGGCTTCAATGGGGGAATTTCGCTTTGTAATGATCAGTTCCCTGCTTTGGGAAAGTGCAGTGAGACTGTCCAATTTGCATAAGATTGGTCCTGGTATTTGCCTTGGGGGAGGAGAGATAAAAACCCAGCTGTGTCTGTTTGTGGAAGGAGCGCCCCCTGCTGTGTCTGTTTGCTTCTCCAATCTAGATCGGAAAGTGAGATAACCCACCCTGGTGAAGGAAACCTGGCCAGCCTTATTCCTTTACAGAGACTCTCTGAGGGAACGAAAACATGTACATATATATGTATAGCTGGCTGTTTTTTATTTTTCCAAACTGTATTCTGTGTGATCTGATCAAAGGTATGTTCTTCTTGTGTGTGCTTTTGTGTACATGGTCCCTTCACGTTCTCAAATATTTTCTGCATTGCCAATTTTCTGTTCCTTCCTGGGCTAGCAGTAAGCTTAACTTAGGCCTTCAGGACTGAAGAGATCCCAACCCACTGCATCCTTCATTTTCCAAAGACTTGAGTGGCTGATTTTTAACCTCGTTACTTATACATGGTGCCTCGCTTTACGATTGCCCCACATTACAACGAAACCGCCATACTCACCATTATACTAATTCCTTTTCTTCTTTCTTCATCATCATCATTAACCATATTCAATAAGGTAATCATTGGAGACATTGGGATATTCAGTCCAATTATTTTCCTAATCTCCTTAAGAACCATCATCCATTCTTTCCTCCTTATTTTACAGAACCACACCATATGTAAATATGTCCCTTTTTCTTTTTTACACCTTCAGCATAGAGGTTATTTTTTATGTAATAAATTCAGTTTCACCAGTGTTAAGTATCATCTCCACACTACCTTATTACAATTTTCTTTAACACTTACAAATATATTCTTCATAATTCTTTTATTCCACATTTTACTCCAATCTTCCCCTTTAATTTCTTTAAACATATGTTCCTCCACAAGTCTTTTAACACACATACTGTAGTTCATATCCCACCTGTACTAATAATTGGTATATATCACGTACAGTCCCCTTTCTATTATTCATTGCTTCTAACGTTTGTCTTTTTTCAATTTGCTCCTCTAAATCTGTCATTATTCTGCCCACTTTTTCCTTTCTTATCCATTTTATTGTCCATTTTTATAACTCAAGTGTGTTTCAGCACGAAATTCTCTCTGCTTCCACTACCTCTCTTATTCACTCTCTATCTTGTATCTGTTTCACCCAGTTCTTTATCCTAATAAGTTCTTATCTAGCCCTTTTAATTTCCTTTTAAGATTTTCTGAAAAATTTCTTAACACAACCACTGGGGTTAAGGGGGGATTAGCCAGGAATTTCCACAAATAAATCACAGTTTGCTTTTCTGTAGCATCTCGCTCTAAAGAAAGGAAACACAGACGAGCTGCTTGGCAAAACAATTTTGTTTTCTGAGCTTGCTCTCTTGGCTGTAATCAACCAAGTTAGATTAGGTTTGGTTTCACACCCTTTGCCGGAGGCACTGCTATTTCTGCCACCTAGCCCACAATTATTACATTAGTTTTGCCACTTTTGACTTCCCTCTTGTCGCCTTGAGGCATTATAAGTTAAAAAGCTAACTAGGTGTGGGCTGGATAGATCAAGTGTCAGGTGGATACACAATTGGCTAGGGAATTGTACTCAGAGGGTGATGATTAATGGGTCCTTCTCTAACTGGGAGGAGGTAACAAGTGGAGTACCCCAAGGCTCAGTCCTCGGCCCAGTGCTCTTCAATATTTGTATTAATGACTTGGATGAAGGAGTGCAGCGAATCCTTGTCAAATTTGCAGATGATACCAAATTGGGTGGAAGAGCTAATACCCTAGAAGACAGGAACAAAATTCAAAATGACCTCAATAGGATAGAGCACAGAGCAAAAAGCAATAGAATGAAATTCAGCAGGGATAAGTGCGAAGTCCTGCACCTCGGAAAACGAAACCAATTGCACAGTTACAAGATGGAGGAGACCTGGCTCAGTAAAACTATGAGTGGGAAGGATCTTGGAATTGTCGTAGATCACAAGCTAAATATGAACCAACAGTGTGATGTGGCTACAAAAAAGGCAAATGCTATTTTAGGCTGCATTAATAGAAGTATAGTTTCTAAATCCCACGAGGTGCTAAAAGTAAAGGTTCCCCTTGACAATTTTTGTCCAGTCGTGTTCGACTCTAGGGGGTGGTGCTCATCCCCATTTCCAAGCCATAGAGCCAGCGTTTTGTCCGAAGACAGTTTCCATGGTCACATGGCCAGTGCGACTTAGACACGGAACGCTGTTACCTTCCCACCGAGATGGTCCCTATTTATCTACTTGCATTTGCATGCTTTCGAACCGCTAGGTTGGTGGGAGTTGGGACAAGCAACGGGCGCTCACTCCGTCGTGTGGATTCGATCTTATGACTGCTGGTCTTCTGACCCTGCAGCACAGGCTTCTGCGGTTTAGCCCCGCAGCGCCACCACGTCCCACCACGAGGTGCTAGTCCCCCTCTATTCAGCACTGGTTAGGCCTCACCTTGGGTCCGGTGTCCAGTTCTGGACACCAGACTTCAAGAAGGATGCTAACAAATTGGAACCAGAGGAGGGTGACAAGGATGATCAGGGAACTGGAAACCAAGCCTTATGAGGAAAGGCTGAAAGAATTGGGCATGTTTAGCCTTGAGAAAAGAAGGCTGAAGAGTGATATGATAGCATATATTTTAAATATATCCCATCATATCACTATATGGCTGTACAGTATTGAAAATATTTGGAAGGCTGTCATACAGAGAAGGGGCAAGATCTGTTCTCGATCATCCCAGAGTGCAGGACATGCAACAATGGGCTCAAGTTAAAGGAAGCCAGATTTCGGTTGAATATAAGGGAAGAAACTGTTAGAGCAGTAAGACAGTGAAACCAGTTACCTTGGGAGTTGGTGAGTGCTCCATCACCAGAGGCATTCAAGAAAAACTTAATCACCTGATAGATATGCTTTGATTGTTGTGACGTGCAAGGAGGACGTCACAATCCAGAGGATCTGGCTAGGCCTGTAACTGTAACTACGCTCCACTGGTGTATCCTTCTACCCTTTTCCCTGGGCCTCTTGCCCACTAAGGATACTTTATCTTATATTATTGCCTTTGGCTGACTCCAATTTCACCACAGCTCTACCCTCTCTCAGGTGCTGTTTACCATGGAGATCCCTCAGCTTTGCTGCTCTTGGTCTGTCCC